CGGGGTTGGTGGTGGCGGCCCCGGGTGTGTGCGGGGGGCAGAAGCGCTGTCGGTGTCGCTGCGGATCCCTTCGGAAGAGATCCGTGGGCAGGACTTCTCTAACTTCCCGAGTTCCGCTAATATTCTTGAGCCTGGGCTCTTGGAGATGGTTAATTCGTTAGCGCTGTGAGTGGCTGTAAGGAAGTGACAGTTTATTTCAGGAAACCTTATTGTTAATTCATTTACATTTTCATGTGTTTCAGAAATTGTTTAAAACCTTAGACATTTAAAGATAAATGTGTAGTTCTCAGCATACAATGTTAGGGATGCAGGAAGAGTCTGTGTTTAAATTATAACTTTTTCTGATACTTGCGTAATTACAGTCCCAGGTAGATGAAAGGTGTGATGCTTGTAGGATTTTGGAAGGAGGACGGAAGGTGTCAGTGAGAGTTGTCAAGGGCCCTGAGCAGCTTCATGCGGGGTCTCCGCCTCTGCCCAGTGCCCAGCAGCCCTGTTTGGGCTCAGCCCGCAGTCCCTGCCTCAGCTGCCCCATCCATATAGCCTGGCCACCAACCAGTACAGCCTCTGGCCCTGATGGACCTTGGACCTGTGTCGTAGCCTTGGCTGCAGCACTGTCGCTGGCCCCATCTGCTGCTACTCCTGACTGGGCTCCCTGCTTGGACCCTGGACCTGATTCATCTCCTCCACTTACCTGGGGCACTCTTGGGTGACCCTGCTTTGCCCACCTTATTCAGGTCTGTTGGGACTGTACCCTGGTCCTGCCTGTGCTGGGTCACACTGGGCTCCTGGCTCACACCCTTCTAGAGGATTCCTGCTCTGCTGTTCCAAATAAAAACTTGTATTGGAAACTGATTTTTTTTAAAAGTATTTTTCTGTCAAAATAGAAGCCCATGTGAAACTGAAAGCTGAGTTTTAGCAGATAAGAGAGAAACACTTGGGGCTTTTTTCATTCAGATACATTTTGCCTCTACAAAGGTACATTACTTCATTATTTTTTTCCCCCAAGAAAATCTCTCCAGCAAAAAAAAATATAAAAAGGCCACCTTGATTTGATCACAGCTTGTGCGTTCTCTGAACAAGCTTATTGAGAAGCTCTTTCAAATATGCATTTGATAACAGTTTGATAATTCTTGTACTATTTTGTAGTTGTCTTTAGGCAGCAGAAATGGAAAAACTCTGTCTCCACACAAGCAAAAATGCCTCCTTGTGATTTTGTACCTGAAAAATACACAGTAAGTCATACATACTCCACTGAATTTAAGTAAGATCACACTACTAGATATAAGTGTTAGGCTCATCTGCATTAAATATGATTATAAAATTTGCTTGTTTGGGCAAAACCCAATTATATTACAACCAGGTTATAACTTATAGATGTACTTGTGTGACAATTGTATATCTTAGGGCTAAATTATTCATTTGAAAAACTTTGAGGAAGAGATAAGTGCAGAACAGCAGTGTTATTTCAAAAGCTTAATTTCAGAGGTTTGTAGAACCCTCTCTGTGACAGAATTTGTTAAAATATTAGTTCTGTGAACAACTGCTGTAGACAGCTGTTTATGTGACCTATTACAGCTTCGTCAGTTAGGATATTTAGAAAGCATACCCAGGTACTGACTTTTTCATTCCACTCAGTCCTATCCATATGAACGTATGCAGAAGATTCGTGAACAAAATATTTCTCCTGCACTGCGAATGTATTATAAGAAGCCATTGCTGCTGCATCAAGGACATATGCAGTGGTTGTTTGATTATAAAGGACAAAGATACCTTGATCTCTTTGCTGGAATTGTCACTGTCAGTGTTGGTCACTGTCACCCGTAAGTATGTTACTGTTCGATTTATAATATAAAATACAGGAAGAGATACCTGTGTTGGTTTTGTTCTTTGTTAATCTGTGGCACTGTGAGCCTAAAATCAGAATATAACTCACTAAATGGTCATGTATGTTTTGTATTAAGCTCAATTTCCACTACATTTTGAGTAATTCATTATTTTTTTCTATTTGTACATCCCTCTGGCAAATAGTGCAGTGTCTGCATTTTCAGAATAAGGAACAGGTGGTTGTGTGCATGTAGGTTTGCACATGTGTGTTGAATTGAATCCCTTTGTCTCTTCTTGTGCTACATGTAGGAAGGTAACTATGGCTGCCCAGAAACAGCTTGCTCGCCTCTGGCATACCACCAATATCTACATGCACCCGTCAATCCAAGAGTATGCTGAGAAGCTGACTTCTCTTCTTCCAGAGCCACTTAAGGTAATTTGCTTCTCACAGGAGCAGGGACTGGTGGAGAGGTTGTTTATAAGAAATATTTAATGTAAAATTATGTATTAAATAAATGAGAGCCACAATATTTGTGGAGAGAAAACCTGTATGGGGACTGCAGACTGTCAGAGAAAGAGAGCATGATAACCCTCAGGGCCTTCTCTTTAGACCCAGGTGTAAGGCAAGCATAATATATCAAGCTCCTGTTCTGTTTGTTCTCTCCTTCCAGTTGTCACTGTGAAGGGGCATTGCCAGCTTAAAAATTACTGAAGGAATTAAGCTGATGTTAACTATTCTTGTATGTAACCAGCCTGAATTTGCTCAATCTCATGAAAATTAACGGTGAAAAGTATTTGACAGTGCTTTGTGTATTGAGAGTTACTGACATTTAAATAAATAAACCACATAAATGTCATGTTTCATATACCCAGAAACAGTAAGAAAAATACTGTGTTTGCTTTCAGGTGAAATAAACTGGTCATAAAATGAAATTAGGTAGCAGAAGACTGAAGATATTGCAATCTTAAAAATGGAAGGAGAGTTAAAAAAACCCTTAAAAATGTAAAGCATCTGCAGAGTTTAAGCAGTGAAGAATCTCAGTCACTTCTGAAAATTAACTTTAACAGCAGTGACACTAGAATTTGAGCTGTTTTCAAATCTCAGAACTTGTATTCAGGATATTTCTTTAATCTTCATTCGCTCCCAATAAGTAAGCTCTACTTACCTCTTCTGTTCCACGGTTCTACGGTTGTGTCTGTGGATGTCACTCCTGGTAACTAACATGCAGGGACACCATACAGCCCTTTTTACCTTTGTGAAGGTTTTTTCTATTCAGTCAGTCACGCTCAGTTTGACCCAGACACTTCCATTTTTCTTTGAATCACTGTTCCATCTTAAGAAAACCTGAAGATTCCAACTCTTAAAGATCTTCCATACTCTCCCTGAGTAGATCAGCTTGATTTTAGTTCTCATCTGTAGTATATGGGCAACATTAAGTTTATTAAGGTAAAGTCACCTCCTGGTAGTGATGGGTTATAGCTCATAATCTCACTAAGTGACATGGTCTGATGCCAAACAAGAAGGTGGTGGTTGTACACTGTACTGATCCTAAGCATTCTCCCATAGGTCGTCTATCTAACCAACAGCGGGTCAGAAGCCAATGATTTGGCTATGTTTATGGCAAGGATATATACTCGTAACTTCGACATCATCTCTTTCAGGTAACAGTGATAGATCTTTACAAGACTCATTTGTGTGTGTGATTAGTCTCTATGTGCCTAAACCAAGAAATAATAGAGAACTCGTTAACCTGAGATCTGCTGAGGAGAATGCTGTAAAATTATTTTATTAGATGAAGAGGTGTAAAACAGGAGTTGAAGATTTGGTACAGTATATTAAGACTAGTTTTCATACAAAACACAACATGTAATTTTTGCTTTTATTACTTAGAAGATGGTCTAGTCTCTTTGTTCAGGGTGTGGTTTGGTGGATCTTCATTCAGGGCCAGAGCAGGCTTCAACAATTGCTACTTTCTTCCTTTATTCTCCCCCTGCAGTGACCCTTTTTTGGGGGGTACAAAGGTACCTCTGGAACAGCAGTGCAGTGAACCACAGCAGTGGGCTGCTCTGGCTGAAAACTAACTTGGCAGAAGGAATTTTTGTTTTGTTTTTTTTGCTGCCTTATTTTTCTGCCAGATCGCTGAACCATAGTACACTGCACAGATACACAAGCGGCTCTTCTGGATTAACGACAGAGGTGGTGCAGGGCTGAGTGCTATGTAAGCAACAGTGTAAGCAGTTCTTCTCCTTACTGTGCATCCCAGGTGGCCTCAAATATTAGAGTAAAAAACCTTGTTGTGAAAAGCTGTATTTTTCTGTTATTCTGTTTACCGGAACATTTGGTACCCACCTTGCTTGTATATTCTCATTAGTGAGCTTTTGATTTGTATATAAAACTGGCAGCAAAGCACCATGTAGTTTAATGATTGGCAGCATCTGTTGGAGAGAACAGCAGTTTCCAAGATTCAGAGAACACAGATGTTTTCTTTGTAGGGCACAGGTGCTACAGCAGAATGTGAGGCACTGTCTGAATTGCTGTTGGTTCCAATCATTGTTCTCCTCTCCTCGCAAACGTTACCTCACCAATTTAACATCTGAAATTTCAGGAGACCAGTGCAGATGGGCAGTCATGGATCTTCCAAAATCAGAGCAAAAAACAGCAGTTGGAATCTTCTTGTTTTAAGTGTAACAATGCACATTTTCCCCAGTAATTTGTAGCTCAAAAGCATGTCTTCTCAGAACTAATATTGCTACAGTCTCTTCTTGGAAATGAGTCATGTTCATGTGCTTTCTTTGTTTGCACAGAGGAGGATACCATGGAGGCAGCCCTTACGCGCTGGGACTGACATCTATTGGTCCTTATAAGCATGGTGTTGCCAATGGCTTTGGCTGTTCAACAGTGAGATTTCTATTTTTTTTTCAATCAATCTGGGTAACTGACAGTTTATTTGAATATTTCAACAATTAATACATTTTCTATCCCCGAAGTGCTTTATGGTCACTAAATAAACTGTTCCTGCTGTGTAAGCACAAGAGACAGAGTCCCCTTTCTTTCTCTGTATAGTTATCTGTGCTAATTTGGAGTCAGGACAGCCATAACATGAATGGTCATGATTTACAGGTCTTTAGTCATGCTTGGTGCTTGCATGGAAGTCTACATAGGGTGCAAAATAATAATACTCAGAACCCCTTTTCTCAAGTTTGTTTTGTCCAATCTGTGCAAAGCTGCTTTCATTCTGAAGTAGATCCTCCCGCGGCGTGAAAGAAAGCCCATGGTGTCTCTCATTTCAGCAAGATAGGACACACCTGCTAAGGACATCCATTGGGGATATAAATGGCAATACATTATCTCCCTGCCCTTGAGCACTTTTTGTCTACTAGGAACTGGCACTGGCTACTCTGATCTGTACTAGTGACAGCTCAACCCCAGCACTGGCTGTAGGAAGGCTCCTTTATAGCAGCCTCCCAAACTGGCTCAGTGAATGAGTTGCCCGAAGTCACAGAATCATATAATCACCTGGTTGGAAAAGACCTTTGAGATCATCAAGTCCAACCATAAGTCATATGGTATTTCATCAGCAGTCAGGATTAGAAGGCTGGAGTTACCAGTTTCCAGCCTGTAATTACTCTACTAGATCTGCCTGCCTCCCTGTATTTTGCACATTTTCTTCACACTTCAGGTTATTGAAGTACTACTAGCAACTCTATAAATGTTGCCATTAATCTTGGATAACCAAAACTGTTGACTGACTTAAAGAACCGACCAAAAGCAATTATCAGTTGAGTGACTATTACTGGAGAAGTCTAAACTGGTTGGTTCCAAAGCTGTCTTTGTTTGGCATTAATCCTAAGTGTCCTTCAGACATGTTGCTTCAACTAGGTGTGCCCTTTGATTCTAACAGACTTTATTTAGTTTTTTCATTAGTCATCCCTAAGTATCATAAAAACATCTCTTACAAAAGTGTCATTAAATCTGTAGCTATTTTTCTTATGCTTGACAGACAATGTTACCAGATGTTTTTCGTGGTCCATGGGGAGGCAGCCATTGTAGAGATTCTCCAGTGCAAACTATTCGAAAATGCAGCTGTTCTGAAGGTTGGTCAATGACAAAAAGTATTTGGCTTTTAGATTAGAGAATACTAGGGGGCTGTGGAAATAGGTTACATTTACCTCCTCAAGAAAGGTAGACCTCTGGTTTGCGAGGATTTGCAAGGGAAACCAAAGAAAATATTGCAGAGAGCCTCAGGCACCTGCTTCCCACTAAGGAAAATTTGGGGCAAGTGACACCTCATGTTCTCAAATTCCTTCTTAATATCCCAGCTTTTGTTTCCAGCATTTGTCATGATCAACTCTGGAAGCTGTGGAACTCAGTTTAGCCCATCTGAAAGAACAGAATTGTTGCTTGGTGTTTTTTGCCATTTCTGAAGTTTTGAAAAGTCTCCACCTTTTGTTTTGTAGTAGTATGAATAGTAAGGACAACCTGAAGCCAGTGATAGGCAGGAAGTCTTAATGTGAGGCAAAATATTGCATACACAGCACAATGTGAAATCTCCTCTACTGCTCTCTTGTTAACAACAATTACAGTAATTTTTTCCACTGTTTCAACAGGCACTCTAGTATTTTAATTCATATGCATACATAACAGAATGTTTTCTTTTTAGCTTTGCACTCCCTAGTGAATGGAAGCACTAGCTAGACAAATTGCTCTGTTCTTTATTTCAGTATATATATTTCATATATATTTCAGTATATATATGATAATGCAGCTGTATTCTCCAGAATCCTCATACCTGCTCTAACATAACAATTCCTTATGTCTTATGCTGATGTTTATTAACACCCGAGAAAGTGTCTGTTTATTCCTTCTGCTGATGTAGAAGGAACAAACACTTCCTCTAACCTGCAGCTTACTGACCTGTATAATGTGTAACATCTTACTGTCTGGCAGCTTTGCCTTGTTTTTTTGGAACTGGCATTCCTTAGACTATAAATGGTTTAAGAGAAGATGAGGGACTCTCTCCTTTAATGTTTAGCCTTTTATTGTATATTTGAGAGGTGATATTTACCATGTAGTCGGATAATACTTGTTGCTTAGATGTATAATTTTGTGTTTTGAAGCTAGTTTTGAGTCATTTTAAGTAAATTATCTTTAAACTCTTAAAAAATGTAAACAGGTGTATGTCATGCAAATGACCAGTACATAGAACAGTTCAAAGATACTCTGAATACCTCAGTGCCAAAGACCATAGCTGGATTTATTGCTGAACCAATTCAAGTAGGTAGTTTGCCCTTTCTTAATTGTGTGAAACACTCAAATCTGATGGTCTTTAGCTACATACAAAACATAGACTTCTGCTGATTTTTATTATATATTAATGTCTTAAAAGCCTTAAATATTTGAAAGACTGGTTTCAGTGTCTGAAAATTTCAGCTTTTGTCACTGATTTCAATGGAGATAGAATTTTGCTCATGAAGTTAAATTAAATAGAGAACTGTGATTAAACACACATACTTTTGCATTTCAGTAGTCAGTATGGAGAGGGCTATTGTTCAGTTTCTAATACCTTCTTACAGATTTCATATTGCTTTTCTCTTTACTGTTTCTGTAAACTTTAACTCAATCCCCCTTCCACCTCTTCCCAGACACGTTTTCTACTATGATTTTAGTATCTGTCCAGCAAGTGGAGGCCACAGTATTCATTCTCTTGGTGCTTCACCCAAGTTTCAGAACTGCTGTATATGTGGTTCTTAAATAGGAAGAATGGAGAATATATCCTGGAAACAGTAAAGGGAAGAAAAAAAATGTGGGCGTTGTGCCACAGAGAAAATTGAAGCTATTCTCTGGTTTTGTGGTCTTCTAAGCCTTTACATACTTCAGTCTTAAGAAGCCCTTGCAGTCCAGGTATGGAGTGGAATTTCTCCTTCAAATGTAAACTGGCAAGGTGAACAGAAATTGAGGAAACAGTGTTTTAAACAAATTAAGCAAAGAAGGGATGTGAATTCTCAGGTTAACTTTGTAATCAAACATGTTTTCTGGGTTTCTCAGTCTGTAGGTTTTCAAGGTTCTTGTTTAGGCAGTTTGTCTTTAATTGGTTCTGTCTTACAGTGATCCAGTTTACAGTGTGGCCTCACAAACATTTATACCAGCACAACTAACAGAACAGCAAACTGCCCTGTGGAATGGGAGTGAGTGACCTGAGCAGCAACTTTTTTGAAGCAGTTTCACTGCCGAAGCCAGAAACTTGACAGAACAGTCTTGCTGTTACATGAGGGCTGCTGGTATTTTTTCTTCTTGTAGGATAGTCACACAGTGAAACTCCTGTTTCCTTGTCTGTTCCTGAAGACGTTGTCTTTTTTATCTTGGCAGGGGGTTAATGGAGCTGTTCAGTACCCAAGAATTTTCTTAAAGGAAGCTTATCGGCTTGTACGGGAAAGAGGAGGCCTTTGTATTTCAGATGAAGTGAGTTTTTTTGATGTAAGAGCCCTAGAGTTTGGGGTACCTCTGAAAGTCATCTTAAAAGAATACAAGTGAACGCAAACTAGAAGCCTAGAAATAATCTAAATGAAATGCTATGCATTTTATAGCTTAAGTTTAACTCAGTGCATCTTTCCAAGCATAGGAGCCTCCCAGTTTTTACTGCCCTGATTCTATGTGGTATGCTGATTTTGGCACAGGTAATGTTAGTAGCAGACTTTAGTCCTTACCTTTTGGGAGCAGTAAATTTACACAAATATGCAGCTAAGAAATACCAGTTGTGATGTGGGGTGTGTCACAATAACAGTTGCTCTTGTGAGTGTCATGGGCATACGTAAACTCTAGAAGGAAGCTGATTGCTGTACCTCTGCAAATACATTTTATAAATAGAATGTGCTTAGCTAAAGCTATTTTGAAATAGTAGCAAGCACTTCAAAGTAACGGCGATACCTCCAACATTGCAGTACTAGAAATCAGCAATCTTGGGGCTGCAGTTTTGGAATGTGATAAGCAACTGCATTTCCTCTCTGTTTTGAAGTGGAAGCTGCATCTTATTTGTCCTTCTCACCATACCTAAGATGTGGTGACATATTACCTCTTTCATATACAAAATAAAAACCCAATTACAATAAATAGTATTTTGTGCAAAGCCATCTCAATAAGGATCCTAATACAAGTTGACTCCAGATGTCGTTGCAGTTTAATGCAAATCAGTAACAATAGGAAGACAAGAAAAATAACCCATATGGTAAAATGTGAGAAAGTGATGGGGATTTATCTGTTTTGGTTTTTTTTATTTTGAAAGGTACAGACAGGATTTGGACGAACAGGCAGCCATTTCTGGGGCTTTCAAACACATGATGTGATCCCTGACATTGTTACTTTGGCAAAAGGAATTGGTAATGGCTTTCCAATGGCAGCTGTTGTTACAACAAAAGGTATAAGTGTTCTGTTCTGCTGAGGACTAAAATAAAGCAATTACAAAATACGCTATACAATAATTACTTCCTGGAGAGATGTGTGTTCTAACAGCTGAGCTTTATTCATAATCTTTGTCTCAATCTATCTTTTTACAAATTAGTTGGATTCTCATTACTCGCTTGTTTTACCAAGTGCTCCGCTATACCCGTGCAAAGCTTTATTTAAATGGGATTAATTGTATAACTGAAGAAGGGATGACTTTGTGAGTCATTAGTAGAGCTAGTAATACATCCTGGAAATCTTCACTGAATTCACCATTTTACTTATCAATGTACTGTGTGTATACAAGGCAGCGCGTGAGCCAACTACTTGATTCATACAATGACTGGCTGAGTCTAGTGAAGAAAATTTTAGATGTCAGTTTAATGGGCCAACTGACAGTATATGTTATAAGTGTGACTTTTTTAAAAAAGTCTGCTTTTAGCATCTGCTAGACACTGTACTTTTGGGAAATAGTCGTATTTTGTACAGTCTACTTGCAGGAAAAAAATAAAATCTTCCTATTGTGTTGTCTCCAGTAGAATCAGGGTTGAAGCACAGCAAATTCAACTTAACAGTTAAGTTAAAGCAGGTAAGTACCATTACCAAACACAAGGCAACTGTAAGAGTAATCAATATGTTTTTTTTTCTTTTAGAGATTGCAAGTTCCTTGGCTCAAAACCTTCACTTTAATACGTTTGGAGGAAACCCTTTGGCCTGCGTAGTTGGAGCTGCAGTTCTTGATGTAGGGAGAACGTTATGTAAATTTATATAATTCACACTCATGTAGCAAAAGATGAAAAATGTTTACATTTATTCTTACTATAAAGTTATATCTGGGCATTTTTTAAATAACTCTATAAAATGCATAAACATATGCATGTATTATGCATACATGGGCAGTGTAAGAAAAAATAAATTCATAGTTAGTTCCATTGCAAAATTTTCATCCCTCTGGCAATAATAGAAGTCCTCTCGTTATGTTTTCAGGATCAGCCTTCTTTGTCTCCTTTGTGTCCTTTACTTTTTAAATAAAAAAGTAGGAAAGCATTTTCTCAAAGGCCTTAGCTAACTCTTTCGTAGGACTATGCAAATCCACAGGTAAACCAAATTTATTCTCTGGCACACATGCTTAATAAAATTGTTTTAAATACACAGCTTTTACCTTATGCCTGAAAAGCCTTAACAACCAGGTAGTTAAAAATAGTTAAGGTTAGAACTCAACTCCTTTTGCAAAAAAATACCTTATGAAAAAGACAGTAGAAAAATTTGAAACATATTTCACTTATTACCCAGGAGAAGATCAGTCAGTGGGCAGTAGGTTGCTATTTATTTTGTCTTGATCATGTACAGGCTATTATTCCTTTAATCTCACTTCATTACAGCAGACACTGTTTCTACTGACATTACTTCCCTGAGTGTTTTGGGTTTTTTTTAAGCTACTTTATAAGATGGCTGATCATATAAATAAAAACATTTTGGAGAAACAGTTTACAAGAAAAGAAAGTCTGAGACCATGTTTTATGGGTTTTTTTGGCTCTGAAGTAAATTGGAACCTGGACCTGAAATAAGTCCAAGGAGGTTGTCAGAGTAAGGAAATATAAAATGGAGTTGACAGAAAAGAAAAAAAGTAAATAAAAAGGAGAGGCATCTGCTTTAACTTCTGTAATTGTATTTTTTTGTTTTTTAATGTGAATTTTCCTAACGCAGATATTCAGTTCATAAAACAGTTCATGCATGTCGGTGGTGATAGCTAGCTGCAGGTCAGAACTTCAAGGAGAGCAGAGTGAGGAACAAACAAAAGGATTGTGATTAAAAAACATGGTGTTGATGAGTCTAATTAAAACACTCGAGTTGTTTCCTAAAATGGTATCCAGTACACATGGGTATACCTTGTCAAATTACATTCTTCTAATGATAATGGAGAAAGAATTAAAATATTTCTGGCGAGATTTTGAAAATAATCCTGCTGATCAGGTTTTTTTCAGTTATGACTACATGTGAGCGTGAATTACTGGATTATGGTTATGGAATAGTAAGTAAAATGTGAAAAATGCCACAGCAACATGGAAATACTATGTCCAATTGTACTCTGATGCCATTAGAGGATTGTAAGAGAAGAAAAATTTAAGGACGATGGTAGTGAAGGAGTATAGTCTGCAAAGAAGTGAGATAAACATAATGGATTAACTGACCGTATTGGTAGCTTTTCCTGCAAAACTGTCATTGTACATCATTTTAACCAGGCTATTGAAGAAGATGGTCTACAAAAAAACAGTGAGGTTGTGGGAACATATATGCTACTGGAGCTGGCTAAACTACGGGATAAATTCGAGATTGTTGGAGATGTCCGTGGCAAGGGACTCATGATTGGAGTAGAAATGGTGACAGATAAGGTTAGCGATTTACTTTACTCCTTTTAATTTACAGTGCCATTGAAAGTTTTATCACATTTTATTTCAGTTGAAGTAATAGGAAGATTTTCTATTAAAAAAACAGCTAGTGAAGAGAGAAAACATTACTCTTGCTAAAAATGAGCCAGAACACTCGAGCATTTCAGGTATTTTACAAGCTTTGAGTAAACAATGATTTGTGTACTTTAATTGCATAAATGTCTTAGAAAGCAGATAAATTACACAGGTAATATTTTCAGACAGCCATAGGAGAGGGATTTATCGGAGACACTGGAATATACATCTTTTTCATAGAACTAATTCAGAATATCTAAATGAAGTTTAATATTGACTTTTGTTAGGACAGTCGCCATCCTCTTCCAGCTGAAGAAATCAATCAGATCTGGGAGGACTGCAAAGACATGGGAGTTCTGATCGGCAGGGGTGGACTCTACAGTCAGGTACTGAACCTCTGGTTATCCATAAAGCTTATTCTCTGTAAACTAAACCCCATTTTCCTCAAGTTAAATTAGCTTCAGTTTAGTAAATAAATTAGAAAATGTATACTGTTAGGAACTAGCTCTGTTTAATTTTGTGTAATTTACAAATTGGGCAGGAGGTATTTGTTTCTTTTCAAGTATGCTCTAACTTCTTTTCAACTTGCTCTAAGCTTACAGTTTTCTTTTAGAGGGACAACCTCCCCTAGAAAAGCAATGTACTATAACGTGTGTAAATTAGAAGAAATCAGCAATATTCAGGTCTGCTAAGTCTTAGCTGTTGTTCAGCTTATCACCTGACCTGTTGGCGCAGAACAAGTTTGGTTTTGCTAGTTCTTACATTCTGAAGAGCTAGTAGCATTCCACTTGGATAGTAATTTAAAAAAAAAAAAAAAAAAGAAGTTAGTAGCAATTTCAGCGATGCAGCACAAAAGGATTGTGAATGGGCATCAGCTCACACCAGCTGAAGATACACCAGGCTGTACCCAGGGCACTGTGTCACCAGCTTCTTGGAGCATGCGAGTTGATAGCAGAGAACTGCCTCAGTGCTGGTCAGGTCAGTGAAGCCCTCTGACAAGAGGAAGCAGTTTCTGTATGAAATAGCTGAAGGATGGTTGAAATAAATAGGATGCTGCATCAGTCGCCTCGTTGGTTTTTCTATGAGTCACAGATTTAACAGGCTGCAGCTCTGAGTATAGTAAAATCTAATTCTGTGCCACGAGAGTGCTGTTTATCTGAGTTTTTCTGTTTATCAGCTGGGTACTGTGGGTGGGAAAGACAGGTCTTCTACTCACACTGCATAAAATCCTGGGATATGATGACAGAAAAATTTAAACTGAAAGTTTAAGATTTTTATGGAAGTTAAATACTCTTGGAAATATTATAATATAGATCAAACATTTGGATTTAAGAACCTAAGTTCTTGACAAGTTGAACTGTGCATATGTCCCTTCCTGGTCAACATGCATTTGAGCTAAAGTATCCTAACTGAAAAGTTAGCATTTAGTGATTTTTTTATATTACATTATCTTAGAAGCCTTAAAAATGCCCTCTAATAAAACAGCAAATCAGCTGACACAATGCAAGAGGCTGCCACTATCAATAGATACTACTTTTTCCTGTGGCAAAGCTTCCAGAAAAGACACCTACATCTCTGTTCTTTCTTAGTACAAACCCATCTAAGGTTTTACACTAGCTCTGTCTGGAATAACAGAGCTGCAAACATGACCTGCTCCAGTCAGGTCTGTTCTGGAGGCAGTTGCTTTGTCTCAAGAGTGGAGTGGGGAGCTGGATGCAGTTGAGTCCAAAATTGCCCCACTTCAGGGTGCATTTATCAGAAGCCTCAGTCTCTTCTCTGCTGTTCTCCTGTATATTATGTTTTACACTTTTGGTTAGATTTTTTTGGGCAGAAGGTGAGTGCTGACCTGGATGGGCTGCTGGAAACTGTATTCTTTCCATATAATTTTAAGGATTTTTCTTTTTTTTTTTTTTCCCCTCTCTTCTCAGACATTTAGAATTAAACCTCCTATGTGCATTACCAAAAATGATGTCGACTTCGCTGTGGAAGTATTTCATTCTGCTTTACAGAGACACATGGAAAGAGCAGCTGCAAAAGAGACTTGATTTGTTTCCTTACAGGAGGCACACACAGAACCCCCGATATTTGCCACCCAGGCTCTGCACTAATCTACACTAGATAAGAAATTCGTACTCTGAAGATTAAATACTTGTTCAGTATCACAAGACCAGTCTGGCAGATCCAGTGTTTAATAAAGAATACACTCTAATGTGTTTTGAACATACAGTTCAGTTCTACAGTGGTGGTGTGCATTAGCTGGACACCGATTCCAGCATTAGCATAAAAACCCTCTGATTTGGGTTAACTGGGTATCAGATGAAGAGACAGACACATATTCATCTTTCTCATCTATGAAATGGTAACAGAACTGGTCATTTTTAGAAAGAGTGACAGCACATCAGTGAAGTTGTTTGGAGGAAGTACGTGCTGTAGCATCCCTAGTCCCCATGGGGAGGTACCAGCAGGTGCCTCCTGCTGCTCCAGCCCTGTTCCCTGCACCACAGCACTTACTGACAGTTCTTAAGTATGTTTTCACAGAAGCACCACACGCTCCCGAACAGCTGAGCATTGGCGTGCGGTGGCTCTGGTGCCGAGCTGGTTGGGACCAGTGCAGGGTGGTCCTCAACTGCCTTCCACAGCCGTCATCGCTGCTGCTGTTGCCCCCACCCCCCACTACCAAAACCTTGCCATTTATACTCAATATACAGAAGCATTTGTAAAACACACAACTTACAAAGTATTTATTTATGTAAGAAAAGAATTTAAGTAAAAAAAATAATACTGCAGGGTTCTATCTGTGAGATTTCACTTACATAAGCACAGTCAGTCTCTGGCTGAGAAGCATCCTGAGCAGAACCTAACTCCGGGTTTCAGAGTTAAAACTGTTTACCCTTACTACGATCATACGCTGTAATTAGAGCATTAAAAAAAATCTGTATGCACACAGAAGTTGAAAAGTTTCTAATTACAGTAATTCTTTTTATCATTGGGCTCCAATCCAGTCATCATCATCTCCAAAATACGCTTTTCTTTTGCTCCTGCTGCTTTTGGGATTGCATAGAACACCTGTTAGTCATTTAGCAAAGATGCAAACTCTGGCTGGTGAAGTGAAATGCTATGTTTTTTTCTTACATAACCACTTACAAAATTGTTTTAGTTCATTACCTCCTTCAGTTTCCAACAAAAAAAAAAATGGCTTTATGGACAGTCAGCAAGAACTGTCCGGTTTTCATTTTACTTTCATTCTAATTTTAACATTTGAATAATTCCTTGCCCAATAAAGGCAACCACGTCAACCTGTGAGGGAAGGAGAGTATTGTGCCATTTTGAGTGATGAATTGAAACTAGAGGAACTTAGTTAGCTAACTAACTTAGCAGTATCAGTGCTTCTGGAAAATTACACTCTGGAGGTTTCCTAAACAACATACTACAGTCCTTGCTGACCACTGCACTGACGATTCCTGTGTAAAATCCACTTCCACTCCAAAACCAAGTGTTTGTTATCTCAACTTTTTTAAGTGCTACTCATGATCAGGTAGATTATGCATTTAAACAGATGTGCAATACCAATGCCCATGTTATTTTTCATTAGAAATCAGAATAAATTAATGCAACTCATTTATTTCTCCCTTCACTTATTCTAGCAAGGCTGTTCCACAAGACTTTTTTCCCCCCAACACCTGGCATGCATAGATGTACAGAACCAACAGGAATTGTCAAAACGGTAACAAGCTTTGTCATCTTAGTCTGTATCAATGTAATGAAGTAATGTGAAAGGGCTCTTGGGGATGGCAGAAAAACCTGTGTTTTTCCACTTCTTGCTGATGTTTTGTCTTTGATAGATGATCAAAGTACCACAGACCCTTCTATGGGCTACACCCAGCCTGAGCTAAACCCTCTCAAAAGAAAAGCAGCAACACAACTGTTAAATTATTTTATTATTTCCTCTGTGTATTTTATCCGTGCAAGTTTCAACAGGGACACAAGGTGACTAGCTTTGAATTACTATTTCCTAGTGTCAACTCTGCTGAGATGGTAGGCCAAATCCAGTGATGAAAGTCAGGCCGATAAGCACGGTTTCCTTCACAAGATACTCCTTTTGCCGCATCTTTATTTTTTCCAAAATGAGGACTTGCCTTCTTGATTTCACTCTGAACACAGGCAGTGTGCACCTTTCAGTTTTGGGACAGTTTTCATGTACTGTTCTCCAGACTGTCACTGTAACAAAGTTCTATCTGTTTTTACGTTTCTCTTTTTTGTTTCTGGTGTTCACAGCTCCATTTACAGCTGGTGCTTGTGTTGCTTTTGCATGTCCTGTGGCTTTTAGGTGTTCAAACAGTTTATTTCGGGATGGAAACACGCAGTTGCAGGTTACACAGTGGATGGGAACTTCATTCTACAATGAGAGAAAAACCAAAATGCTTCACATTTGTATGGAATATGTAATGAGTATAATACACCAATTTGTTGTATGCAGTTTTTCTTGTGAAATGTGAATAAGCTGGTTGGTTCTATCACAGATATTCCATTGCTGATTAACAATTAAGTATATATATTAAAAAAAATCACAAATGTGACTTCTTGAAATTTTAAAGAGTACCAAGTAGAACCAAGAACAAGAATAAGAGCCTTGCAAATCTAATTAAAGGTAAAGAATACTTTTGATCTCGCCTGACTTTAAAAGACTGTAGACTTACTACTTTGGGCTCTGAGATTCAGTGAACTTAGTGTCTTAGCTGTAGTTATTACACAGGATTCTGCTTTTTCTGGGAAGCATTCATATTGAGAAAGATGCAAATTGTACTGCCTGTCACCTGCCTGATGACAGCAGCTGTCTTCAGTTGTTTAATTTATTTGGTTTGAACTGCCTTGGATATAGAGCTGTAGCAGCTCTCTAAGAACTGAAATTTAGTCTTGCTCTTCTCTGCAAGGACAAGAGCTGATGTTCCAGGCTTCTAACTTCTAACAAACTCAATAAGCAAAACAATGAAACAGAATTTCTGGGCTGGAGGTGATCAACCAACCAATCTTGTTTCTGATAACGTGACCAACAACTTCTAAATAGCTCAAATAATTTGACATACCATTGCTGGGTGCTCTGAAGACGCCTTAGCAGACCTTTTTGCATCCTTGGCTTTTTTACCTTTAGGCTTAGTACTGCTGATAAAGAGAAACCAAGATCAGTGCACAGGAACATTCAACATTTAAGAGCTTCTAATAGTTTTCAATCATTAATGTCTCTGCTGCTTCCCCCTGTTCTTCCTTCACACAACACAGTGCAAATGCTTCCAGCAAAAACATACAGCAATTTAATTTACACGATTAATTGTTGATCTCAAGATTCAGCTAGATGTTAAATCTGCTACTGGTAAGTGATGTGGCAGGGATCTGCAGTCAAACACCGTTTCCAAAGTAGATCCTAACACTCCTTGTTTAATATCATATTTATTCAATTAGTGGAGCAGCCCCCAGTTCACACTGGTGAGTGAATCTAGACTTGCTTGACAGTGACAAACATGACACAGAATGACACAGTTACTGCAATATTTCAAGTGAGCGCACCTGTTTGCTTCGTTCACTTGGCTGACATCTTCTGTCGCACTTGCATCCTCTGACACAGCACACCTTTGGCCATCATTGACCAGATCCTCTGCAGAGCCACTGTCCTTGTCCACGCTGGGTGCCTCCTTCTGTTCAACTGTTTCTTCATCAGCACTTTTATCCAAAGAGTCCTCGTAAGCCTGCCCAAACAGAAGAAATGCAAGTTAACTACTTGAAGTTTGTTAGTGATTATGTTTAATACACCTCTTTTACCTCAAACATGGGTGTTTGGTGGGCAGAACACAAAGCCACGGACCCTCTTTACTGTGTGTTTTCAGTGAGATTGTAACAGGTAAAACCTTAGCTCTCCTGATTTGAAAGATGAGGCCACCTGGATGAAGGGAAGAAACGCCAATAAAACAGCCTCTAAAACTATGGAAGAGGAGAATGAAGGTAGCTTTTAGTTATACACAGAGATCATTCCCTTCTGGCTACCATTTCACATTGTAAGATAGTGGCTTTGTTTATAACTTTGCAAAACGTTAATTATTTAGACTAAAGTTTTCTGTGCCAGAGACCTTAAGCCAAAATAACTGAGCTGCCTGAAGCTAGACAGACACACTGTATTTTCCCTCCTAACATTAGAAACAGTGGCAGCCTTTCCCACCTACCAGAAAACAACTTTGACAAAAGATCAACCCGTGAGCATGTCTGAAGTGGAACAGCTCAGCTCCCAAAAGCAGGATAATAAATTCGACCTAGCACTACATTAATGAAACTCCAGCATCTTTTGCAGTCCCAACTACCTGAAAAAACCCAGCTAATCTTTCTACCTTTAGGAAAACAAAACAAAACAAAACCCACAGCAGTTCCCTCCACTCTGTGAAGCTCGGTAAGGGGTGGAGGTTATGTTTCCAGAAGAATCTCTGTGCACAAGATTCCAGCTCATGTTATGTGAGAGTGGCACCTCCTGTCTGGGCTGGAGAAGACCTCAGGACCAAACTGAATGAAGACAAGCACAGTGCCTGTGTGCAACCTATACAGTGAGAACACGACCTTCTGATTTCACACTGAGGAGGAAATAGGTGAACAGCAGTCTGCACAGAAACAAGAATGTCAAGCCAATACTGACTTCAACTGTGCAGTATCAGCCAAAGAGAAGCAAGAAAAAAATCATTTGCTTGAAGGTCACAGGGAAGTTTCTTGAGGATGAGAGATAGTGATAGTGTAGGAGAGGGCAGAAAAGGTGAACACATAACAGGAGACTGGAGGGGTTAGGTTGGGAGAAGACACCTTTGGAAATGATGGAAGAGGCAGGACCTGGTACAGGTAGATCACTGGGACAAGGCTAGGAGTGAGGTAGAGAGCAGAGAAGAGGTAAGACTTGAGAAGGATCAAGTTCAAGGAAGGCAGACAGTTTGCTCACTATGGCACTCCTGCTCCTTAAGCCTGAAACAGTTTGCAGTTCTTGAATTCCATCCTGCTGCTGTCAGCACAGATCTGTCATATCATGCACAGACTCGGATCTTGGAGCACAACACACTGGTGTCACTCGTGTTTACAATTCAAGTGAAAGGTGGAATGGATGTGTTTGTTCCAACAACTACAGTGTCAGTGGGATGCCAATAATGTGTTACTTTCTCTCCCCCCACCCCCCAAGATTAACAAACAATACATTATACCAACTCTAGCAACCAAATCAGAAAATTGCCACCAAGGAACTGAGTTAGTGATGCACTAAGGCCATTGCTGGTCTTTCTGATCAATTCCTTCCATTCTCCCTATCTGCCTGTTGCTGTCCATTTTCCCTACGCATCAGGCTACAGCCTTTCAGAGCCAGCACCACATGTGTTAGGATCTGCACTACCAAAAGAGTGAGGTGTATGAGATTATTATCATAAAATACGATCACAATAAGTGTAATAAAAATTATTTTGCAGTCAAAAAATTAAAAATCTGAAAACAATATTCAAGTTCTTTAGAATTTCAAGTTCTCTCGTATTCTTCAGGACACAAAAAAGTTAAGTTAGGAGATAACAAAACTGGGTTATAAAATTCCCTGAATATCATTATTTGACTACATACCATCATTGTTTTCTGTTTCTTCCTCTGCTTCTTCGAGAGTCTGCAAATATAAGAATTTAAAATGACCTCATTTCAAGAAAAAAAAAACAAACAATTTTTAAAAATGTACCAACTTATATTTTTGCTTATCTTCTTAACATGTTATCAGAGACACAGTAGCCACAAATAGAAAATTACCCATGCCTGAAATGAAAACAGTTCTAAACTAATCACTGCATTTAATAAAACATTTATTCTGCTCAGACTGGACTTGAAGATTCTAGTGAGATAGTTGGTATTATGCTTTGGCCATTCAAAAAATGAAATTGTGCAACTTACTTTTTATTTTAAGCACACTCACTTTCCATGTATGCCAGCATCCAACTGACAAAAATTATCAAAATAGTACCAAATCAATAAATGCTGGCCCTGTGCAAGCTCCCCTGTTTGAAAGGTAATCATCACTACTTTTTCTAAACATGTAATTTCAAGAAGCAAAGACAATATGAGATGATTATCCTACAGCATTTGAATCCAGTCATACTAATCCATGCATTTTACTGGAACTCTGATGCTAATAAATATTTTAAATTGCACAATACTGTGCATTCCAACACAACTATAAATCATCAGAAGGTCTCTCTGAGGGCTTCCGAGACTTATTAAATCATTAGTCATAATAAAATTAAAAGTAATTTAAAGTACTTCTGTTTTGGCATGTCTTCTGTTTCTTCCTCCTCTTTGGTATATATTCTGTTTGCATCATCCAAAGACACAGGAAATTTCCCTTCTTCTTCTTCCAGTTGCTGTCGTAACAGTGATACCATCTCTCGATGCTTCTTTGATTTTTCGTGATTCTTCATGCTGTGAAGACCAGCAGAGCATTACTGCAGGTAGGTCTGAGCAAGCATTGTTATATTTACATATAAATTAATAACAGGCCCATTATCCGTCACTACCAAGTATGAAAAATTCTGCCCTGACAATGTCTCTACTGGAAAGATGACACTGACCATTATGTGAAGTTTAAAAGTCTTTAAAAAGCATTTTTTAAAAAGTTAAAACCCAACATCCCCACCCCCAGATCCCCAACCACAAGCACTTACGCTTTCTCAGTTTTTAACAGTTTGTCACAAGCAGGGCAGTACAGACCATCAACAAATTCAGCTTCTTCAGTCTCATCACTCAGTTTGTCTGAAGAGATCAGTGGGGATCAGAGAGACAAAGTCAGACAAGCAATTTTTGAGTAAGCTGCTCTCAAAGCCCCAGCAAACAGTCACAACACTGACATTCAGCTTCTTTAGTTACTGACGTGCAGACATACCAAGACCATCTCAGCAAATCATATATTAGCATAAATTAACAGCTGTAGCTTGATGCCCTCTTGTGTTCAATGGAAAACACCAGAGAGGGCCAGTCTCTAGCCTGGCACACCTCAGCTGGAGACAGGGAGTTTTGCACTACACATCAGAACCGCGAATCTGGGGCTTTAAGTCCAATGAGCCAATACTCAGGCTGCAACGACTCAATATAGATCATCCCTCCACACCCCATACCTTCAATGCCTTTTGTCTCCAGTTCTTCCAGTTCACCTTCACCATCTGATCCATCTCCAAATTCTTTTTCATATTGTGCCTCCATCTCTTGCAACTCTCTCTCCAGATCAGACATAGTTATCCAGCTCTGCTCTTTATACTGCTCAGCAAGCCTTTAAGTAGAATAATACAGTAACTTTCTACATTGCATCCATGAGATAAGAACTACAGAAACAGTATTATTTAGAAGATAACTCGTTCTTCTCTGATATTTTAGGAGGAAAGTCTTGAACATACTATGATGGAGCAAACAATTGTCTGTAGGACCTGGAAATATGAGCAGTTAATTTGTGATGTCAATGGGCACATCTACGCTGCAAGGAAACAGATACTCGCGCAGGTGGGTCCTGCTTGGACTTCAGGCAGGAAAGGTTGTGCAGCGTGGTCAGGATCAAGCTGACAGCAGGAAGGTCAGCTCAGTAACTCAGGCAGTACAGCTGCTTTTACCTGCTGCAAGATCCAAACCTACAAACAGTACAGGAGCACAAGCACATTACTCCTGACTTAGCACGATGGGAAAGTACCAGCTCAGTTTTCCAAATCTCTAAGTTATCAATCCGTACACCACAGTACAGATGAATTTTGCTCCAGCTGGCTTCTGGACTCAGAATTATCAAGCCATCTCTCAGTAAATGCATAAAATTCTGTTTCATTTTCCCTTTAGGGGAAAATAAATAAATACTGTAGAATATATTCCATATATATATTAATTATTATTATATAATTTTAAGCAATAAGCAATTATTTTGCAAGTGCGCTCTTAAGAATTTAAGCTCCCTCCTCCCATTTGCAGGCAAAAAGCTCTTCTAGTTGGAAGAACAATTTGTGCTTGCACTCGGGAGATCACCTCTTCCTCCTACTTAATTTTGGGGAAAATAAAAGCATAAAAAAATGCATTTAGTTCAATGAAAGGATCCATTCTGAAGAAAGAAAAAGCGAAACTAAGTTAATTTTCCCCCACTTTCTTTTTAGCACGTACAGTTCCAAGGCAAATGAAGCTCATTTAAGTCCAGGCTGTTACAATCTTGTTCTCCCTCATTCCAAAACATTATTTTTTCTTTAAAGGAACATGAGTAACTATTAAATTTTACTTCCCCGGGTAAGTAAAAGCACACTGGATTCTGTGCTATTACAACCAGTCACCTGCAGCACACAGATAACCATTCCCTGGTTATCTTACGTCTCTACATGTCGGTACAGTGCAGAGATACTCAAGTTTTAAAAAGCTCAGACTTGAGACCAAAGCTAATACATAGAATTTTCAAGGATGTTTAAAAGAGCAAGTGGAGCTACTCATAGAATCTAACTCTACATGGTAGCTTCATGGATAGTCTCTCCAAGCTTAAAATAAAATATTGGTTCCATATTTACATACTTGGCCTGTTTGAGCTTCTGCTGCCTCCGAAATTCCTCTGCTTTCCTAGTTTTTTCTGCATTTTGTTCTTCAACAAGTTTTCTGTGAGCCTGTACTCTTTTGTCCCTTTTACGAATAAAGGCTACGAGCTGACGGACCAGTTCATTCCTCTCTTTCCTTGCTTTCTCTCTCGTTTTCTTGTTCTCTTTTTCCATAGCTCGTTTCTCCCAGCGGTTTGAGGCTTGTCGTGTGTCATATTCTTCTTTCCAAGCAAAGTTTTTCTGAGTACAGAAACTCTGCCAGTATGCATAGAAAGGGTGGACTACCTGTAAGAAAAAAAAAACAAACCAAAACAAGTAACTTGTTTAGGAGGGAGACAAAAACCATACCAAATAATTCAGGACTTCTGTAGCAGTTTTGTGTCTTCTGTACAGGCCACAGTTTTCTCTCAGAGTATAAATAAATCACATGAAGGCTTAGAGTAACCTCTAAAACCATCCTTAAAATTTCAAACCATGCCAAATCAACAACCTTGTCTAAGCTATTACAAGCTGCAGCTTCTAAAAAATACCCCTTGCAGAGAACATTCACATCACAGATTTTGAATCCTCTGTAGTTTTTGTAGCTCCCTTCTAAAACTCTTTTCCCTTTTCCCCATGATACGCCCACTGAGTAGAGAAGTGCACACAGCAATACTGGAATCCTCTGACAGTGTAATCTCTTTGAACATAAAATAGCAGGGATAATGACATTCCCATTTAGCTGAGGCTACCTCCCATAAAATATCCCTATGAATCCCTTTTTTAAAAATAAAATAAATAAATATAAGGTGAGCATTCTGCTTCCAGAACAGTGTGAACAAGGCTGATGTCAAAGCATGCTGGTGCTAGAATTCCACCCACTTTTGCAGTTACTAATTGACAGCATAAAGCTATTTTGGGTCTGTAAGAATATCTATCCTGTGGCCTCAAAACAAGCAGTTTCCAAACCATATTTCAAGATAACTCAGTTAAGAAGACAGATTTTAGCAGTTTCAGAGACACTAAATATTCTCTCCCTGGGAAAGATTACCATTTGTTAAACCAAACTGAAATGATACCTCCCATTCAAACACCCGTTCTGACACTTCTTAGTTTGATTTGTAACTTTGTTTCCAACTCCAGTCAAGTTTTTTAACACTGAAGTTACTCATTTTTAAGGTATGTATCAATTTAAATTTCATAAATAATTAGTCATACAGTACAATTCTACTAAAAATGACAGGGAGAAGTAGCAGACTAGGAGCAACAATTGAGTACACTGTTACTCTGCAGTTATTCATTGGAGAAAGTGCTATTTCAGCATAGGAGTACTAGTAACCTTAAAAAAAAAAAAAAAAGTCTGAGAGAATACAATAAATAGTTGTCAAATCAGATGGCAAGAATTCAAGTGTCCCCCACACATTTTCTTTTCTTGCCTCCCAAAGGAAAGCATGCAGTATTTTGGAAATTAAATCTTACTACAGAATAATTGTAAATGACAAGATAATCCTGGGAGCTCACGTTGTAGGTCAACCACCACATCTCCCATTTTCTAAAGGCTGTGTTATGCACTAAGTGCTATGCAGTTTTCCTCAATGAGGCAAGACACTACATGTTATTAAAAAAATACTATCTCAATATCCCCCTCTGTAATGTAAGTTATATTAAAACACTGGTAAACTATTCCCATCAAGAAGCAAAGAAAACATCTGTTCCTTTGTTTTATAGGCCTTGCACTAGACTCAAGTTTCACTGGCATAGGTGATGGTTAGCCCTGTGAAGTGTCTGTCTGCCGACTTCACCCAAAAGCCTGGCTAATAATATAATCCAACAGGAAATACCAATTTTAATTCACCTAAATACTATGAATCATAACACAAGCACTTCCTTTACAGTAATGGTCTACAGTAGTAGAAACAACAGATAAATGGTTTTGTATTCACCTCAAAGGTCAGCAGGAGCCTTTAGTTTGATTTCAGTTTGGGACAAAGAATAAACTGTGTTACTTCCACAGTCGGATTTACACTTGCTCTTACCGTATCATAGTCACTGTTGGAACATCCAAACATAGGGAATTCTTCAGTATCTTCCTGGGTCATATATTCCATTTCTTCTTTTGCAATCTTTTCAAAAACTTGTCGATAGACTGTAAAGAATCCCTGAAATAAAAGAAATATTTTTAAAATTATGTCTCATTTTGCATGGCATAGCTGTACAAATGCTCCGCTACAGTAGTGTATTTAAGAGAAATATTACAGTTTTGCAACAGCAACTCAAAAATCATAGAATTGTTTTGGTTGGAAAAGACCTTTAAGATCATCAAGTCCAACTGAAAACCTAACACTGCCAAGGCCACCACTAAACCATGTCCGTAAGCACCTCATCTAAAAGTCTTTTAGATACCTCCAGGGATGATGACTCCACCACTTCCCTGGGCAGCCTGTTCCAATGCTTCTTTTAGTGAAGAAATTTTTCCTAATATCCAATCTAACCCTGCCCTGGAACAACTGGAGGCCATTTCCTCTTGTCCTGTCACTTGTTACTTGGTTGAACAGACCAACCCCCGCCTCCCTACACCCTCCTTTCAGGTAGTTGTAGAGAGTGATAAGGTCTCCCCTCAGCCTCCTTTTCTCCAGACTAAACAACCCCAGTTCCCTCAGCCTCTCCTCATAAGACTTGTGCTCCAGTCCAGGTAAAGGCCCTGTAAGCCCTTGCTCTAGGTAACAAGACAGTTCTGTTTAACAAATTCTCAATTCTGTCACATTCCTTTTATGTCTCCTTCATGTCACCTCTGTCTCCCTCACACATCAAGCACCCATCCAAATCTAAACAAAAAAAAAGTCTCAGCATACTGGAGATGTTGATACACAGGATCAAGTTTTGATGAAGTTCCAAATACAGAATTCACTTTTAAGTGTCTCATCTCTTTTTAAATTAAGATGTTACTAACTCACTCCTAGAAGAGTAACACAAAGACAGACAAGGATTTTCTCTGGCAGAGGTTTTTCTAATCACCAGGAGTTTTTTAAGTTATGATGAGTACCTTAAAATCCAACAAGGAGTTCAATTATAGGAAGCACACTTTCCCCAAGGACTATTGTTACATTGCTTTTTTTTTTAGTTTGAAGCACCCTAGTTCATTAATGATATCTCTGGATAAACAGATGGTATTGCAAAGCGTTGGAATGCTTCACTATGCAGCGTAAATAAATATACACACACCCTCTGTAGCTGCACGGCAGAACTGGAAATCATGACCAAGTAATTGTCTGACAATAAGCAGGAATTAAAGCTTCCCCAAGTATCCAGTGTAAGTTTTATCTTAGAAAGATTAATTATTACTACCTGTGCTCAACAATTCCACACATAGCTTTTCAACACGAAGCAAATGCCAACACTCCTCATGAAATTTAAATTGATTCATTAAAGATTAATTAATTAATTAATTACCTTTTCGTCATCTCCATATCCAGAGTAACAGCTAACAGTGAAATAGCGCAGCAGATCTAAACTATCATCTTGATAGTCTCCATCAACTCCTCCTTTCAGCAGAGCCTCCCTGTGATTATCATACCTAGGGAAAATTCACGGTTACAAAGATGTGGAGACAGAGAACATTCCCTAGTGCTGGTAAACTAACACAGGACACGGATCACTTCAGTGTACAGCCCAGTATCTGGAATTTGTGTCTCATAGCCAAAGCCTTCAGAAAGAAAAAAAGACAGGCTCAGTAAATATTCTCTCTTGACCTTTATTTTACTTGCTATTACTTTATCTGCAACATCTATAGCAGCAATTTCTTAACAGGCAGGTAGCAAACACATATAAGCAAGATGCTTCAATAAGCTTTCAGAAATGGGCAGGTCATCATTTAAATAATTCAATACTTACACGCAGAAAAAAAATCCCAAATCATACATTCATAAATAAACACTGAAAAACGCTACTTTCTTTTCAAGGAGGACAAACTTAGTACCGGTGTTTTTGGCTGCATACGCTGATAGATGCTTCAGCCCATTTGAAAAAGAAGTTACACCGAACATGTGAAGTGGGAATCTCTTCAAGAGAGATGCCTGCACGTATTTCAAACAGGGCCTGTTACAGAAACAGGGCACTGCCTGTGTGATTAAGGCTTAACACCTGCAGCCATCAACAGCACACCAAACACCTGCGGGCACCCAGCCTGCTGCCGGCTCTTCCCACCCCCCTCAGGACCCTGACCAGAGGAGAGGGATACCTGTGCTAGCGTGCAAGCTGCCTCCTGCTCCGGGAGGGAGACTGGCGTGTCCCTGGCGCAGCGCCCGGCGCCCAGCCCACCGCCACCTCCCGAAGCAGCGGGGGGAAGGTGCGGGTGCGCAGCTGTGCCTCCCGGGGGCTGCACCCTGCGAGGCTCCCACAGCCCCGTCGGAGCAAAGGCCGCAGGGGCTGGCGCTGACTTGCGGCAGGCGTGCAAGCTGCCTCCTGCTCCGGGAGGGAGACTGGCGTGTCCCTGGCGCAGCGCCCGGCGCCCAGCCCACCGCCACCTCCCGAAGCAGCGGGGGGAAGGTGCGGGTGCGCAGCTGTGCCTCCCGGGGGCTGCACCCTGCGAGGCTCCCACAGCCCCGTCGGAGCAAAGGCCGCAGGGGCTGGCGCTGACTTGCGGCAGGGCCTCGCCCGGGCCGCTACCGGGCAAACGCTGCTCACCAGGCTCGCTCCTGGGGGTCACTGAGCACGTCGTACGCTGCCTGGATGAGCTTGAACTGCTCCGCGGCCTCCTGCGCGTTCTCGAGGTTTTTATCTGTAAGACAATTC